CCCCACCCCCCACCCCCAACTCTACCCCTACTGAGATGAAGCCCAGCTTCCACCAGCAGGCCAGGGCCTACAGGCTGTAGAACTTGAGGCTCCTGTCCATGCCCGTCGAAGCGATGAACTTGGCGTGGTGCCCGAAGGCCACCCCTGTGGTCAGGCCGCTGTGCTCTGAGGAGAGACAACAGGAGATCGTGAGAAGACTTCTCCTTCCGTCTGAAGGCTGATCCCAATACAACCAGACCTTCCCAGTTAGCAGTTAGCACAGCGCACGCTCCCTCTTGTCTGTCTTTCCCATCAACTGTATACTCCTGAGGGTAGGCGGGATTCCAGTCCCTCCTGCTCCCCGGGTGTCCGCAGGGCCTCCCTCAGTACCTGGCACAAGGCAGGCCCTCCCTTCTTACTGGTGGGATGGATGAAGACAGCAATGTAGCCCCCTTTCACCAGGCTTATGCTAAGGGCTAACTCTCTGCTTGTAGCGGACACAGCCCAGGAGCACATCCTAGCTCACATGGGGCCCTGACATAGAGCCGATGAGTCTGGGCAACACTGCTCAGACTCAGGGGATTCACGAACATTGAGGCAGATTCCTTCCTGACTTAGGATCACACCTGGAGTCAACCTGCTCCCCATTAAAAAGCCCACCCTGAGTTTCCAGCCTGCCACGCTAACCAACTCAGCTCTCCATCAAAGCACTGGACCCAGTGTAGGGTTAAAGCCAGTGGACCATGCAGCTGGGATGGACACCACTGTAGCAGACACCCTAAGCAGGGCTCAGAAGACAGAGCACAGAGTATCTTGTATCCTAACCACAACCAGCCCATGAGGATGTGAATTTCATCCACAAAGGCAGCAGTAGCTCCCGTGCATGCAGCATCGTGAGCGCCAGGCACCCTGTCACCAGCATGCTACCTCTACAACTCCAGGTGCCACTCTACAAAGCAGCACCGATATTCCTGTCTCAAAGATGAGGGAGCTCAGGCTCTGAAAGGGAGAGTCACGTACCCAGGGCCACGCAGCAACTAAGCTAGAATCCGTTACCCACCGTTTCAGCATCTTGTAGATTTCTCTCTAGCACTTATGCTGCAATTAAATAAGTATGTGTGAAATCCATCTACATCTGCCGTACTAATCCGATTCAACTCCATCAGTGCCAGGACTGGGTATCTTAGTCACTGTTCTAAACTCACAACAGACCAAGACGCAGTACTGAATAAAAACAACAGCAGCTCTTCCTATATGCAGACACCATTTTAACCTGCAAATACAGACGACCCTGGCTTACAATGGCTTCACTCTGAGGTGTCTGTCAGGACACAGCCCCACCACTAAGCTGAAAAGCATCTGCGTATCTTCTCATCTAACCCTTACAACAACCCCACTGAGCATGCACTACCATCCTTCCCGATGTTCTGAGAATTCCCGACAGGCAAAGTAACGTTGGGGCTCAGAAAAACAACACACCAAAGTAGGGCAGTTGGAGTGCCGAGTGCTCTGAACTCAAGGACAACCAAGGGCTCTCCAACCTGCTCCTGCCCGCCTGTCTCTCACAGCTCTTTCTCTTATCTAAAGGCAGATCCTCTGGAAGAAACCCAACTGTCATGAATCCCTCCTCCCTGGGAATCTCACCAGCCAAGGAAAATTAGCTGGCACCTCAGGGAAACCAAAGGGCAGACACCACGCCCGAGTTTTTGTCATCTGTTCATCTGAGGTCTGCTCTAACACAATTTGTATTACTTGAGAGGCTCTCTAGTGTATTTCTTCCCCCACAGCTTGTGTCACTACCTATCCCCCAGAAGCCCCACATTTCCATCAATGACAAATCGCATAAACAATGGTGGTCCCGTAAGATTATAATAGAGCTGAAAGGCCAGGCGCAGTGGCTGACACTTGTAAGCCCAGCACTTTGGCAGGCCACAGCAAAAGAACTGCCTGAGTCCAGGAGTTCAAATCAGCCTGGGCAACATGGCGAGACCTTGTCTCTAAAACAAATTAAAAAATTAGCCAGGCATGGTGGCATGCCTGTAGTCCCAGCTACTTGGCAGGCTGAACCAGAAGGATCATCTGAACCCAGCAGGTTGAGACTGCGATGGCTATGATCGTGCCACTGCACTCCAGTCTGGGCAACAGAGTGAGACTCTGAATCAAAGTAATAATACTAATAATGGAACTGAAAAAAAGTCTATTGCTAGTGACTTCATAACCATCATAACATTATAGTGTAATGTATTACTCACATATTTGAGGGAAAACAGGTAAAAACAAACCTACTACACTACCAGTTGTATAAAAGTATAGCAAAATTATGTACAGTACATAATACTTGATGATAATAATAAATGACCATATTACTGGTTTGTGTAGACATACCTCAAAGATATTGCCAGTTCAGTTCCAGACCACTACAACAAAGCAACTATTGCAAAAAATCAAGGCACACAACTTTTCTTGGTTTCCCCATACACATTAAAATTATGTTTATACTGTAGTCAATTAGTTATGCAACAGCATGTATGAGAAAATAGTGTACATATCTTAAATAACTATTAAAATACGCTAACAACCACCTAAGCCTTCAGCAATCTGTAATCTTTCCACTGGCAGAAGGCTTTGCCTCAATGTCAATGTCTGCTGACTGATCAGGATGATGTTTGCTGAAAGATGGGGTGGCTATGGCAATTTGTTTTTTCGGAGTCTCACTCTGTCACCCAGGCTGGAGTGCCGTGGCACGATCACAGCTCACTGCAGGCTCGACCTCCTAGGCTCAGGCAATCCTTCTGCCTCAGCCTCCCCAGTAGCTGGGACTACAGGCACACACCACCACATCTGACTAATTTTTAAAAATTTTTTATAGAGACTAGGTCTCGCTATGTTGCCCAGGTTGGTCTCAAACTCCCGGCCTTAATCAATCCTCCCACCTCAGTCTCCAAAAGTGCTGGGATTACAGGGCGATTTCTTTTTTTGCTTGTTTTTTTTTGTTTGTTTGTTTGTTTTGAGTTGGAGTCTCACTCTGTTGCCCAGACCGGAGTGCAG